GGAAAGCAAGTGGAGCTTGCTTTTGATTATTGGGTCTGTGGACTCACTTGGACTGGGTTTTAAGCCATTTACAATGGGCTCAACAGTCCTAGCCAGTCGGGCCAATCTGCGGAACCTTTTTCTTTTTCTTTTTCTTTTATAAGTTGACGTTTGACCTTACCAAGGGGCACCATGAGATTTGGGGAAAACTTCAAACCCGATGATTAATACGTTCCTGAAAATTACGCCCGGTATGTTGGTCCAGTGGTGAGCCGAGGTGGTCCATGAACCCAAAAGGCTGCTGATGTTGCCTTTTTCATTATACTTTAATGTTAATTTAATATAAACTTTTTTTCGTCAAAGTTGCCATCATATGCTACTTTCCTTTTACAAGTTTTTGATTAGAACTTTTGTTTATTAGATTCTAAGCACCCTTTAATGGTCAAGACTCGGATCAATGAGTGGGGGATGTGTGACCGCACCCAAAGGTCTTAATCCACAATTTTACGTTGATTACCTCAAATCTTTTCGCTCTTATCTTTTTTACTTTCTTTCGTCACCCTCCTTTTTAGTGATCTTGTCATCCCAATATTATGGTTTTTACTCTCTTTTTTTTCTATAATATCGGATCAAATCGAAAACTACCACACCTTATCTTGAAAAGATTTTGTAAAGAATTTCAATTTTTTTTGAATGAGTAAAAAAAAAACGAAAACTTGATATGGTTTAAAATTTTGATTAAATTTTTTATTATAATTTGTATAAATCAAATTTAAAAATTTTATCAAAATTTAAAAGAATAAAAGTTGATTTATATGAATTATAAAAGAGATAATATTTCAATAGAGACTAAAAAAAAGTGAAAGATATAACCTAGTCAGTTATACGAAAAAGAAGAAAGAAAAAAAAATCAATGATGAAAAGAGATTGGGCCCTGAAATTGATGGACTTTTCAATCAGTGGGCTTCATCAAACATGGGGCTTCGTGCAATCCAGTTTTAAGTTTCTAGTCCACATATAGTTTACCACGGACTCGAACGCAGGGAATTCCACTCTTCCCTGCGATGCGCAGAACAGTCACACGTGTAAGCGACAAGTGACTCAAAACGAACATCGGGACCTCGGTTTGACGGTGACAACAAACGATAAGCTCCTGCTCCTCTCCTTTTCAAGGGCTTAGACCTTGTCCACCCTCTCTCTCCTCCCCTCTTTCACCCAAGCTCATCATCAAAAAAAAGGCCCACAGTTTTAAAGCACACCCGAATTGACTGTTTTCGGGTGAAACTCCTGTCTTTTTTTATATTCCCCCCTTTTTTAAAATAATAAATCGAAGCCGGTTTGACCAACGACCCGACCCGGATAGAGTTTCTCACTCTCTCACACGCCCTGCACGTGCCAACCCCTGAACTGGGGAAACTAAAACGAAAACCGACCCGAAAATTGACAAAGTAAAATCAAAACTAGCAAAAACCCAAAAAAGAGTTTTTTAAAAAAAATAAGAGGAAGAAACGTTGCTCTCTCTCTCTCTGGTTCGAAAGAGGCTTCACAGAGGACAAAAGCGAGGGTTTTGTGAAGAGAGAGAAACCCCCCTTCAAATTGAAAGCCCTAAAGAGGGAAAAACACTATCTCCACTGAGAGAGAAAGCTCATAGAGAAAGGAGGTAGAAAACAGAAGTGGGAATTTTTTTTCAGAGAGAGAAAGAAGTGCGGTGTCGTCTGTCTATTGGGCCGGAGCTTCAGAGCTAGGGTTTCGGTTTTCTTTTTTGGAAGCTTTTTTGATGAAGGTGAAGTACGTGTCACGCTTGTAATTATTTCGATTTCGTGCATTTTTTTTAAAAAAAATTTTTTGGGTTCTCAATTTTATTTCCATATTGAGGATTAGCGTTATTAAAATCAGCTATATTTCTGCATTAATTGCGATAATCTTAATTAAATTCGATATCTTTTAAATTCACATCACTCCTTAAAATATAGGGCATAAAAAAGGTTAGGGTTTTGTCGTGCTGTTTCTTCTGATTTTTAGGGTTAGATCTTCTCTGTGAATGTTAATTGCTCTTTCTTTCCCCTGTTAACCGCTTTAGAGCAAATTAGAGGAACTATTTCATTGTTCTTTCGGGGTGTTTGGTACGTTGGCCTACAACTTATGAGTACTGAGTAGGTTTTTTTTTTTTCTCTGCTATTTTGCTTTGTTCTTTTAATCCATTTTAGGAATGAAAATCAATTTATGTGGATATCAAATAAGTTTCTGTTAATTCTGAGTCTTTAAAAAGCTTGAGATTTCAGTATGTTATTTTATTTCAGGTGTTGAGGAGTGCCGTCATTTTTGTTTGTTAAATCTGTTTTTGTTTACATTTGATAATTGTTAGCATGATCAGCTTGCTTGGAAGGTATATTACAATGGTTTTAGCTAATTTTCTTTTTATTTTGATGATGATAATCATCAATTATTCTTTTGAAGTAAAGGAATTTATGGTTCTTTATATGAGCATTTTCTAGGGATGGTGGGAATTTGTTGAAGGCTTCAAATGGCGGTTATATTTTTTTGTGAATCAATCTATTCACCTTTCCTTTAGGGGAGGAGAGTCGATACAGAAATAAGGATAAAATTTAGTACATTAGGAGTTTAACCATTGATTTTTTTTTTCTTGTACATTTTGGAGATTACTTTGCTGCTACAGGATAGAAGGTAGCCTTTCCCATCCCATAAACTTCACACCCCTCCTAGTTGAAAGTTTCAATAACTAACAGTTGCCCTGGCTAATGGTGCTTTGGTGGCACTAGCCTTCACTTTATTTTTTCCACTGGTTGTTTGACAAATTGTCCTCTCTTTGACCCACCAGTCCAGAACCTCCTTAGAACCTCCAAACTTGGCATGGCAAGTGGTGTCTATAACGTGCCTATTGTTACCAATATGGCATGCATTAAAATTCACATAGCAAAAACTTGTCTTCATTGCAGCAAATGGGAACAAAAAAAGAGTGTAATTTGTACTCTGTTTTGTTATCTTTTGAGGGCTTTTATTCTTCAACCTCTTGTACATCGCACATTCAAAGGCATGAAAGGTAATGGCTTTCAATATATAGATAATTGCATGTTTTCTTTATGATACTAAAATCAATCGATAAGTAGGTGTAACACTTCACAATTGTAATGAAAATAGGGGCAAGCTGAATCAAATAACTGTGGCTACTGTTTAATGGATATCTACAGAGAACAGCTGCTCTCACTTAATGCTGCCATATTGAATTAATATTTCTGTTCATGTATGGAAGAATGTTTGCAATACTATGTAACTAAATATTCTTTTCAGGAGATGTGGTGCTGTTAATATATTACTTGAACCCTGTCTTATACATAGCTATGCTGCTCAGTTTGATGTAACTTGTGCATATTTTTGGCATCATAATTGATAAAGAACTTAGTATCAGAAATCTGGAGCAGAATTAACCATTTATGTCTTTCCATTTTACAGGTCTCTTTTTAGATAGTCTTGAAGCTTCACTCCTGTTCTAGATGGAACAAAAGTTCTCAGCATGTTACAAAGTTTTCTGTGTTTGGTGGTTTTGCATCTGAAGCACCATGACGCTGGAAGATTTTTTTACCCTGACCGAGATGAAAGATGGGCTCACAGCCCCTTCACGAGTTGAGGAGCTACTAACTGTAATGAAGAAGGAGAAAGATTCTGTTGTGAAAAATGTCAGTGATGCAACCAGGCAGTGGGCTGCTGTTGCAAGCACAATTGCTGCCACAGAGAATAAAGATTGTCTCAATCTTTTTATTCAACTAGATGGAGTCTGGTATCTGGACAGATGGCTGAAGGGTGCTCAAGAATTTGGTAATGACTCAAGTGACAGTTTTGTGGAAGAATCAATTACTGCACTCCTACGAGCACTTGAAAAGTTGCTTAGAAATAATGAGAGGTCTATTTCTTCTGAGATCTGGATTACTGTCAAGAATCTTCTTGGCCACAAGAGCTCTCGAGTTCAGGATGGAGCCAGATTGCTCTTTGATAACTGGAAAAGAAGTAGAGTTACTGATGATGTTCATAGTGGTGTTGGTAGTGGTGGACATTTTTCTGACTATGGGATTTCAGACAGTGTAACCGTTACTGGAGAAAATAGTAGGCCAGAATGTTCTGCCAAAGAAGGTCCTGTTTCAAGAGGAAGTACTGATGAAGAAAATGCTGGAGCTGATGCTGCCAAGAATGAAAACCTTCCTTCAAGTAGCCTAGACGGTGTTCAGTTAGAAAGTTCTAAAGAGTTACACAGTGAAGCTACTAATGATGAGCTTCAGTCCCACATAAATGCAGACTGTGCAGACATGGAAAACAGATCTCCAAATCATCTGGCCTCCTCTTTAGTATCAAATCCAGCTCAAGAAAACTCGTCCATGAAGGAAGATCTCCCAGCAAAAACTGTGGAAGAAACTGCTTCCCTTGAGGTGTGCAGTTTACCAGACTCAAAGCAAGAAAATGTTGAAGTTTTGGATGCTCAGAATTTAAATGAGTTATCAAGTGATGAAAAGCAGAAGTTGGATATGACAGTTTCTTCCTCTAGTACCGTGGAACATGTACTGGTTTCTTCTGGTGCTGGTGTTGGAAGTGCTCAGGAGGCTACAAAAGAACCTAATTCACAAAAGGATGCTGAACCCAATAACAGTGATGCTCTTAAATCTGTTGCACTTGGTGGCGAGAGGACACCTGTATCTGAGACAAAGAAGACGATGGGTGATGCGGGGGTTATAAATCATTCAGGCAATGGTTCACAGCTATTCAAGACTGCAGGTCAGGACAGTGAGTCTCATTCTGGCATGTTGCGGAGCTCCTCTGACAATGAATTTATATATAGAAAGCCAAAGGATCTGGTGGCCACTTTTTCCAGGATGGAAGGCATTGGAACAACAGATGAAAATAAGGAGAATTGTGGAGTTGAAGATTTGAGGGGTGGTTCCAAGTTTACCCGTGGTCCTGATGTGATTGATAAGAGAATGTCTGATATTGAGCTTGAGTATGGTATAGTTGATGCTCTAGAAGTTGCCCGACAAGTTGCTCAAGAAGTGGAACGAGAAGTGGTAGATGACAGGGAGCCTTCATGCAGCTCTTCAGAGAAGATTTCAGAAGGTGGAATTAGGCAACCCAGTACCCCAGACTCCATAAATGGAAAACAAGACCTACCCACTGAGGTCATACCAAAAGAGGTGTCAACTGGACTCAATCAGTCTGCTGAAGCATGTACTGAGGGGGAGGGGCACATAATTAATTCAGATAATCCAGACAATGAACCAGAACATGACTTGCATGACTTGGAGTCCTCTCAGGTGACTGTGGCTCAAGAACCTGAACCTAACACAGAGAAAAGCCTATGTGATTTTGATCTGAACCAAGAAGTTTGTTCTGATGATGTGGAACGTGCAGCAAATTCCATCTCCACCCCCATTTCAGTGGTTTCTGCTTCAAGGGCGGCAGCAGCTCCTGGCTTACCTGCAGCTCCTCTACAGTTTGGGGGGGCTCTTGGATGGAAAGGGTCTGCTGCCACAAGTGCTTTTCGCCCAGCATCTCCTCGCCGAAACTCTGATGTTGATAAGACTTTATCCATTGGGGGAACAAGCAGTGGCTCAAAACAAAGGCTAGATTGCCTTGATTTTGATCTTAATGTTGCCGAGGCTGGTGATGAAAAAGGTGCCGAACTTATGTCAGGGAAACAGGTTACAGCCTCATCAGGCCTCCACTCTGCAGAATCTTCACTGGATGTGAGTCCAAGAAAATCCGAGAGACTCAAGCTGGATTTAAATCGTATGAGTGATGATGGTGATGCTCCAGCATTAGATACAAGATTAGAGGGACGACTCTTTTACAACAGGAATGGGCATCGTAGCCCATCACCTGCCTCTTCATCATCATCGATGCAGCCTTCTCTGAGGAACATCGATTTGAATGACAGACCGTATAGTCACAATGATGCTTCAGAATTAGGGCTTTACCATGGTAGATCTTCCCGAAATGTAAATTTATATGGAGGGCCTAAACCAAATGATCCTGTTATTTCTATAATGGGAACTAGAGTGGAAGTCAATAGGAAGGAATTTGTTCCTCAGGTTGCATCCTTACCAAATGGCAAGGCTCTCGAGCCTGCAACTGATGCAAGCATCACAAGAACTGGAGGTTTTATGGGGTTGGGCCCCACTGTGTCGTATACACATTCTCCTGCTTTTAGTTATAATGGACTGACTATGCCACCAACAGTGTCCTTCTCTCCTGCGATTTATGGGGCTAGTGGCTCAATCCCCTATATGGTCGATTCAAGAGCGCCTGTTGTGCCCCAAATTATGGGTTCTACATCAGCTGTTCCTCCACCTTACTCTCAACCACAGTTCATTATGAGCATGAGCAATGCACCTGTTGGTTTAAATGGTTCAGGGTCCTCACGGCCTAATTTTGATCTGAACACTGGTTTGGCAATTGAGGGAGGAAATAGAGATTCCATGGGTGTAAGGCAGTCTTTCATGCCTGGTCAAGGCAGGTCAATGGAAGAGCATTTGAGGGCAAACTCACAACCCTCCTCGAGTTCTGCAGTTGGTGCAAAAAGGAAGGAACCAGACGGTGGGTGGGAGCCATACCAGTTTAATTACAGACACCACCAATTTCCATGGAAATAGTAAGTTCATATTTATGTTGCTCCTTCCTCTCTTGGGATCATTTCATAAGTCCAAGCTAATTGATGCTTGCATTGCCAAAGATACCTGGAAAAATCAAGGGCCGATTGGCTTTCGTGGGAGGGGAGTTTGAACTGAATAAAACAGGGGAATTATGAATGTAACATGATTCATGAGATTGATTGCCGAAGGGAGGGTAAAATTAGGTTTAATTGTTTTAGTTTTTGGCTTATTTTCTTGTTTCCCTTTTTGTGTTCCATAGAAGGCCATTGCAACCATAGAATGCTTGGTACATGTAGTTGTAACTTATTTTCCATATATGTCAAAGAAATTTAAAGAAACTGAGCTCTTCTACTAATCTTTTTTCTTCTTTTGGCAAACAATTTTGGTTATTAACATGACAGATTTTCACACATTTGACTGCTTGAAATTGGCGCATACTGTGCTTCACATTGTCTCGTTTCAGTTTGTCAAATTGTTCTCTGCTCTTTGGATGCGTTTATTTATTTATCCTAAAGCACTGAATACTGCTAAAACAAAGAAACAAACCGCTATGGTTTTAGCAGAAACTATAGGAAAAAAGGCAAAACAAAGCAAAATTATAGACTAATGAACTAAATCTCCGTCACATTTATCTTTTTGGTTTCTTCTATGCAACGTCCACATAGCATGCATCGATCCTCTTTTCGAGTTACGAGATGTTTTGTTAATACAATTCTTATTGTAAAAGCATTTTGGATTTAGACTGGTATATGTTGGGCTATTGCGAAACATGCTTCCCCATGAAGGCCGATGGGTCGACTTCAATACCTATTTGAACAAAATTGATTTTCATTGCAGATGTAATCGTCCGTTTGGTTCTATGAAAACAAACGCATTTTCGAAAACATTTACATTTTACAATGAATACCTTGCAGTATTTGAAAGCTAATTCTATAATGACAGTATACAACACAGACATCCTCCTTCTGCCTCGTCATCGGTGCAGATCCTGATCATTGTCGTCACTTCTGGCAGTGTCTACTGACTGGACCATATGACCCATAGCATGCTCCCACCAGCATAAATAGCTGCAAACTTTGGTACCCAGTAGGTAGTCGTACTTGTGCTACCTGCGCTTGTAACTGGAAAAGAAATAAAATAATCCCATTAGTGAGAAACAATATTCTAGCATTTTGAAATGTAGAACTGATACCAACAATAAACAAGCAAACAATAAAATACAAGGAAAAGATTTACAATAATACCATACTAAACTGCCATTCGGTAAATTGCAGAAGGTACTTCGGCAGATTTGATAAATGACCACTACTAGTGTAAGACCCCAATTGAGATCTCCCAATTGATTTCAATGCAGAAAAAAGGTTCATATAGATCTTCGGAAAACAAGTCCGAAAAATGATAAGAGAAATATATCATGTTTCATACCGTGATTTGCTCTTAAATGAACTCTTGGACTTTTTCCTTCCTGCACCACTAGTACTTTTCTGCCTTTTCTCACTCATGTCATTCTGGAATAGCTCCCGCATCTCTTCAGTCCTTGATTGAGTTCTTTGGTTAGCATGCTTCGATTTCTTGTTGGATTTCTTCACAATTTTGCCAGAATCTACAGCCTTCTTTACAGCTTTTACAGCTTTTGCTCGCCTGTAAGCCAAGTCAACCAAAGATATCCCTTCCTTCTCTTTCTTATTTTTTCCACTACCCTGCAGTTCTCATATATGAGTACCACATGCCACAATGAAATTAAAAAAAAAAAAAAACTAGGTAGCCATAACACCAAAAAAAAAAACAGATAATTGAACAGTAAAACATGTTTCAATGTTGAGCAAGAAACTTGGGGCAGCAGTCAATTTTGGCAGCCAAGAAGGAAAAGAGAAACCTAGATGAAGTGCATATTTAAAAGCATATGCTTTATACAGCATAAAAATGGATTTGATTTCCAATAAAGGAAGAGATGCATACTTCTGATTCATTCATTTCACTTTGATCCTCCAACATTTCTCTCACTGCTTCCAGTTTTCGACGTTTCTTCCGAGGTAAATTTTTCTGTTCAATAGATGTTAGCAGTGTGCACCATGCAAAAGTTATAAAAGCAAGTTTGAAATGAGAACACTGTACAACCTCACGCTCTCGTTTCCTTTTTTCCTTCATCTTAAGGTCCTCCGCCTGTTGGGCACTGATGACAGCATTTGCAGAACCTTTTTCTGTTTCTACAGATGCCTGTCAAATGATATAATGCCATGTCATCAACAAAACTCTGTCATATCACATTAGCTAAACATGCAATTCTATTAAATACAAATTGTGTATGCCCACTTACGGACTAGGGACAGCAATACATGCAAATCAAAACTCAAATCAAAGATTGCTTGCCTTTGCTGCCTTTGCTACAAGCTTTTTCTCCTTTTCAGTCATAAACCAGGTTCTTTTAGGTCGTGCGTAAATTTCATCCTTATGTGTGATCATATTTTCAGCCTTGTGTCATGGAAGCACAAGAGATTACATATACTAAACAGTGCAGTTAAACATGAGAAAACAATAGGCTCTGATACAGACAGCCATTGAAAAATTAAACATATAAACTGTCAAATAATAACATAGAAGTGTGGAATCAGTAGAAATGTAAGGCTATATTTTCTGAGACATCTAAGTAAAAATAGCTTGAATCAGTGCAGATCAAATACCTTTGTTGCTTCCATTTCAGCTTTTCTTAGGGCTCGCTCTGCCCTGAAGATAATCATAATCTATCACAGCAGTACAAAGAAAACAACAGAAATAACTTTGAAAATGAAAAAAACCAGACCTCTCCTCTTCAATAACTTCAGCCACTTTGTCTTCCATCTCCTCAATTTTCTGAGACCACTTAGCAATAGACTGCTCTGCAACAATCCGACTCTTCAACTTTGAACCTACTCTCTTTGCCTATCAAATTTGAACACCCAATATAGAGTTACAAGCAAGAGAAATTTCAAATTTCTGATAGGAAATGTTTCAACTACTTATTCCAATAGGGGGAACTGTTTTAGATTTGTTGATGCAATCGAACTTTAAGAAAGTATTGGAGTCAAAGCAAGATATTTTGGCCTTAAAGCATCTTTTAAATTTGAAGTTTCATAATCATAAGTAATCTTTTTATTCAGGACATCATAATTCTTTACCACCACAAGAACCAGCACTAATAACATGCATAATCACTTCTCATACCAAAACTTTCATGAAGCAGAAACTAAATGCTCTGTGTCTAGGATCCAAAGAAGCAGCAAATAAAAGTTAAAACAGGCCCATTACAGACCAGGAACAATATGACTCACAATTGCTTTCAATAGAGATCGATCATTGTCAGTCACAAATGTAACAGCATATCCTTCTCTACCTGCTCTTGCTGTCCGACCCACTCGGTGAACATAGCTGCATAAAGAAAAAAAAAATAACAGAGCCATCCGGTCGCAAATTGAGCATCTTGCACATTGAAGAAAAGAAATTCCAAAGAATTTGTTCATTAGAGAAAGATAGTCCATGCTGGTAATACATGCTTCTAAGAGTGTGGATTCTACCTCGTAATATCTCGAGGACAAGCATAATTAATAACTGTCTCAACACCAATTATATCAAGTCCCTACAATTACAACCATTCAGAATGAAGTGTCAGGAGATAATACAGCTAGAAGTGCCGAAAGTATTGGACATATTGGGACATATGCATGTAATTATTCAAGACTTAGGAGTTGACCCTTTACAATGGCAAGGATCTATCACACAAAGGCACATGGCAGTCCCAAACTTTTGAGGACATTGGAGATGGGTTTTAGAATATCTACTTACTCGAGCAGCCACATCAGTGGCAATTAAAAAATCAACTTCCTGCTTCTTAAAACGTTCCAAGGCCTACATGAACAGCAATCATTGAAAAGTAGATAACCAAAATGCAGGGGAAAAAGAAGAAAAAAAAGAAGCCCAAGAAACCAGGAAAAGCATTTTTCAAAGCTACTCCAATACCTAATAAGAAGCCTCACCCCCAAAGGGAGCAAGTACTCAGAAACACCTATAGAATCTACTTACATCAAGGCGCTGGACTTGAGTAAGATCTCCATGAAGCTCAGCAGCTTGAAGGCCAGCCAACTGAAACAAAATCTTCAACCTGTGTGCAGCCTGCTTGGTTCCACTGCCAAATGAGATGGACTATCATTTCTAAAGTCATATAATTGACAAAGTTTGACGACAAGGTTGGCAGCTTTCATGGACAGGATGACCAAAAAGGATGAAAAAAGGGTTTGACCAGTGATTTAGGGGGTAAAGAACACTCGTCAGCACAAAACCTGGTTATATTTTAAACTGAAATAACAGAGTAACAAATCATATTTTCAGTATTGATTCTAAGTTTTTCCTCAGAAGTAAGAACAAGTGTAGTCAACCATAAAGAAACAGCAAATTAATGAAATGTGACATTAGTATCAAAACATCTGAGTATCCTAATTGATATAAATAGTCAAATCAGCACGATCATCTACGTATGTGTAATAAAGACCTGAAGATGATCACTTTGGATGTGAAAGTCTTTGAACACAATGACAGAAGAACTGCTTCTTGATTTACTTCACGCATTCGACGTATCCTTACAACCCTGCACAAGTAATATTAATGATAACATAGTCAGAATATAGAACAGTGGAAAACAGCAAGCAAAACAGACTGAAAATTAATAAGAAATTTACTCCTCAGTCAATGTTGCTGGCCGTTTTGCTGATGGATCAGCTGAGAGACGCAAGGGTCTGGTCAAAGAAAGCTTGACAAGCTCATCAACTTCTTCTGTCATTGTAGCTGAAAACAGCATAGTCTGTCTCCTTTTAGGACAAAGACGGGCCTGTAGATAAGTTGCAGCAGATCACATACAAGTGAAAAGAAACAAATTCAATTCAAAGCAGGTAACATAAGTAGGTAGATTAGTAAGTGAAAATTATTGCTATTAAATGAAAAAGGAACTAGTTCATCTACATATTTCCATTTAATTACTCCTGGCAGAATAAACTATTACTGCTTCCAAAAGGGATAGCAGCTTTACCTCAGCATCCTACTACGTCATAAGAATTATACAAAGCCCGTCAATTTAGGAAGTCAATAATAAACCACTTGTCCACGTCATTTAATGAATTCAATATATTCACTTATCATTACAACTCATATATAGAAATAGATATGTAAGAAGGAGGTACCAATTCATGAATTTCAGCACTGAATCCAAGCTCTAGAAGACGATCTGCCTCATCAAGGATCAAAACTGCAAGATCGTCCAAATCCACAGACATGGAATTGCGTAAATGGTCTATCATGCGTCCAGGAGTAGCCACAACAATGTCAGGCATTAATCTCAAAGCTGACTCTTGTGCCTAGTATAAAGACAACATCAAAGAATAGAGGACAAGATAAGCATAGAAATACATATAATTATTTAAATTGGTAATATCAACTTTCAAGTAAGCAGGCTGTATAAGAAGGGCTCTGTATTCATCTGAAAAAAATATCCTTTTATTTGTCATTACAAAAGTTTCAATGATATCAGTTACAGAAACCAGGCAAAAGGTTCAAAAAGTTAAGAAAGGGGTGATTAACATTTATTGACTGAAATAAGTGGATGCAATATTAACTGAGTTAAAGACAAAGAAACACATAAAAAGGAGTAATGAAAGCATCAGAGGAATATCCTTTTGCCAGGATCAAAGGTGATTGCAAATTTAGCCAAGTAAGGATGGAAATCTCAACAGGTCAAACCTTTAATGATAGCCCACCAACAACCAGACAACATCTAATATCAGTAAACTGAGCAAGTTTCTCTATCATACTGTGAACCCTGAAACATATGAACAAGAAGTAAGATTTACACCTTAATGAATCACCGCAAATACAAATTAAAGATATTTATAGTTTTCCATAAAGCTTGAAGCCTAAAAAGATTTAACTGTAAAGCCTCACAAATTTTTGCAATAAACTATCCAAGTATGCAAATCTACAAACTGATATCCACTAGCTCATGATAACATAATTGCATTAGCAAAAGTTCTAAATTCCCTTACACAAAGCCCAAACAAAGCATAACCACAATCCCGAATAAATCTGTGATAGAACAAGAAATTGTTCAAAGTATTATGTCTACTTACTGCACCGCCAACTCTCTTGCCGGAGTAAGGATAAGAACCCGTATTGCTGAAATCCGTTTAGGACGGAATAGCAGCCTTTCTAGTGTAGGTAACGCATAGGCAGCCGTCTGCATAAGGATTAAAAATTTAAGCATTTGAAAACAAATCAAATATCCAATCAAAAAATTAGCGGAATAGAAAGCGATGAAGATCAAAAGAAAAACACCTTCCCAGAACCAGTAACTGCGCTGCCGCATATATCGCGCCCGGTCAAGGCTAAGGGTATACATGCAGCCTATAACAGAAATAGGCAAACGGTTCATTCGAGAAAACTTAAATAATGAATTAAAAATTTATAAAATGAAGTGAAAATGGAGACCTGGATAGGCGTAGGCTTAGTGTAACCCAACGCCTCACAAGCTCGAAGCAAAGGGCGCGAAAGATTGAGCTCCATGAAAGAATTTGCATGAAAGGACGTTCCTTCGGATGGCGCGAAGAACGATTCACTCTCACCTGCATTGCTCTTTTCCTCATCATCATCTTCTGATCTATAATCCACCTGATAAATAGAAAACAGATATTAATCCAAAACAAAACGAATTTTAAAATTTAAAAGTCAAAGAATAGAGCAATGAGAGAGAATTACTTGTTTGTCGGGTTCGGAATCGGAGATCTCCTCTTGCTGCTCTGGAGCAGAGCTTTGTTGGAGGATTTTGGAGATTTTGAAATCGATGGAGGTGGTTCCACGGCGTGCGTGTTCTTCTGCTACGGATTCGGAGAAAGAAGCGAAGTCCCATGGTGATTGAGACTTGCGTTTCGGTTTAGAAGGTTTCTCTTCTGCTTCTGCTCCTTCTTCTTCCTCTGCTTCTTCATTGTCTTCTTCCTCGGATTCCTCGAACTCGGGTTCTTCATCGCTGGGTGCTTCGAATATGAAACTCGGAGCCATGAGTAGAATGCGGAGCAAGCGAGTTTCGTTCCGCGGTGTGGAAGTGGAATTTCTGACCGAGGGAAGGCCAAATGAAGCCAGAGACGTTAACGGTGTCTTTGATTTTGCTTCAGGACTAAAACCCATAAACCCTAACTTTTATGTAATACGCGTCGTTTTAATAATTGGGTTGGCTCAGAATGAGCTGATAGCCTGGTTAGATACAGGTCCATGAAAAAATTTGGATTTTGGAACTTGGACCGCAGAACCTAACCATGGCCCTCTGGCTCATACTGAATCAGATCTACCTTCTGATTTTTTCTTTTTCTTTTTTTTTTTAACAACTTATACTTGTTTTTCTTATCTGTTTCTACATATATTAAAAGTTACCTCTAAATAGGCTTATTGGTTGACACTTTATAACTTAATTATTTGGCTCTATTTGAATTGAATTGTCTCCAATACATGTGTATTATTTTGTTATTTATTGTCTTTAAATAGGCTAATTAGTTGACACATATGCAACATGTTTGACAAGTGGTAACTTGATTTGGATTGAATTGTCTCTGAGACATATGTAGTATTTTGTTATTTTTTGAAAGTGTTTATTTGATTTTTTTCACGGATGAAGTTTCGAGTATTTTAGAATATATTGAAGGTAATTTTATTTGTTTATAATTTACTTGCTTATCTTTTATTGGTGTTTTGCAAAAATATTTTGAGGTTTGCTGTCTTCTCATAAGGTTTTTATGGAGTTTCGATATTTTAGAGAATGTTGAGGGTTTTTTGGTCTTTTACCCCTTGACTGTCTCATTTTCGCAAGGAATATAGCTGTCTTATCAAAATGTTACATGGGCACCTTTGTTTTTTAAGGAGACAATGATTTTTATGGACTTCTGGACATTTTACAGGCATTTTGGTTTATTCATGTGAACTTTTTTTTTTTTTAAGGATATGAAGTTTAATTTTCAATGAATTATTGATTGTTTTGAGTATTTTTACTTTGATAAAATGTCTTATTTCAATAGTTTTATGTTTTTACTTATATTTTAATGTCAATATATTCATAAGCAAGTTTAAATTAAGAAAACTTTTATGTCTATTAAATACTATAATTTCTCTGACATATTTGTGATTCATTTTCCCTTAACGAGATAAACTATTTTATTTAAGTGGTTTTCCGTTTCTAAACATACTTTATTGCTTTTGTATGAATGTTACTCTTTCTGTTTGATGTTATTGGACTTCTAAAATTGATGACTAGAGTTGAATAAATAAATTTGAGAAGCGTAATTTATATATAAAAAACCCTGAAGTAAATAATAATACTAATAACTATATTCACTGTCATCTCTTAATTTTTTTATTTTTTTTAAATCATATATATATAATTTAAGATATATATTTTTGTCATTCCTAATTAAATTAAACAACTTCTTTTGGAATAGCAATAAGATTCTTAGCAAAACCATTAATTAGTTTAGGTTCAATTTCTCCTGAGCTCTAATTTTTAAATTTTTTTCTTTTTTTTATTGGCTAGATTTTTTTTATTATGCTTTTTAATAATATATCAGGAGTCTCACAGTCACTTCTCACATATAAATAATTTTTTTTCAATTATAATAAAATGGTATTTTATTTTTCTTTTTTTTTCTCACTCAATTCCTTATATTTCCCTTTAATAACAACTACCACTTCCTCTAATTAAAATCTCATGTTTTTATGCCCCTCTTTCTCTTCCTTCTTTCACTTATTTTACTTTTAAAATATTTTTTCAATTTTAATGAAATGAGATTTTATTTTTCTTTTTTCTTCTCACTCAATTCTCAAGATTTTCCTTTAAAAACAACCATCACTTATGTTTTTGTGCCCTCCCTCTCCATCCTTCTTTCACTTATCTTATTTTACTTTCCTATCCTCCTTCAGAGTTTTCCGATAAAAGGAAAATAAAAATATATTTATATTACTCTAAGCAAATTTTAAAAATTTTTTTATTAGATTCAATATCATGAAATTCATTCAAATTGAATTAATAAAGCTGAATTTATTACTTTGAAAATTGATTATACGTTAATTAACTTCTCAAATGATTATAAACCAATATTATTCACACCATTTAAATACTGAGATAGCTTCAAGTAATAGAATCAACTTAATTTTAATTTATAATTAATTTTATATTATACTATTTTAAATTTATATACAAAAGTTTTGCAATCAATTATTTAAAAAAATTTACACTCCCGAGAACGCGGTTACTCTTCTACTTATTCATAATTATCAACAAACTTAATTTGATTAATTTCTCCATTATCTTAAAAATTCATTCACTTTCCTCAGTGTATTTACGTTTAATAGTTATAAAGAAAAAACACAATCTCGAAATCGTCCTTTTTTTACTGTTCAATCCCATATATCATGTTAATTAGTTACTTTTACGGGTAAAATTATGATAATTCAAAAGCATTTAAGCTAGAAAAATCAATTTTTTTCTTAAGTAGTAGGAGACAATTAATTGCTTGTCGGGTTCAGAATCGGAGGTCTCCTCTTGCTACTCTGGAGCAGAGCTTTATTGGAGCTCAAAACCTAATGATGGGCCTGTGCTTCATATAGCCTATAGCCCATACTGAATCAGATCTCACTTCTTGGTTTTTTTTTTTTGGTTGTTTTAACAACTGATAATTGTTATTATTTTACTAATAAATTACAAGTAGAATCATCGTAATTAAAAAATATGTAAACTATAGACATTTATTTTTTTAGTATTGTTTTTAAATCAAATATTATTATATTTTTAATAAAAAAATTAAAATATTTATTTTAAAAATATTATTTTACGTATTTATAAATGACATTATTTGATTAAAAGATAATTCAATATGGTTTTGGGTAAGTGTATTTGGTTTATACACATAACTTTGTCCCTCTCCATAAAAAAATGGAAACACCTCATTCCTTTCCTTTTATTAGCCGGGATGGCGGGTCTTTTGAACAAATCATTGCACCAATTTCTTCAAAGAAAGTGCTAGGACACTAGATGAAAAGACTACCCCGATCAACACGAGTCATTAGAAGGCTTGAAAAGCGAACGCGATGAAGACTTTGACAGATATGTAATTGCACTTGCTGAGAATCTTCCACTTTTCGACTTCTTTCCATGGTGCCAAAATCATGTGGTCGATGACCCCAAGTCATAAATCATGACATTAATTTTTTAAATAGACTTAAATTTATCTTTAGGCCATGCTTATGTTTTCTGCTGAAGAGAAAAATAACACAAAATGAAGTAACTTTGAATCAAAGCAATTTCTTTTTTTATTTTAATAATATTTGTTTTTCGAGTATTAAAATGATATCTCAGTCGGATATGGAGATTGAGCCTATCAAATAATCCCCTCCATGGCCTTAGGCCATTAGCTTTATAATTTTATTGAAAAATAAAACAAAATATTTTTTCAAAAGCTTAGTATATATATAGTTTTCTAAACCAAAAGGAACTAAATTGTATCCAAATCTCATCCCCCAGTAAATTTCATTTATTGTTTCAATTATAATGTAAACTTATCATAAAAGAATTATGTTATATTAACATAAAATAGGAAAACTTGATATATATTGGTTTTAACAAATATATACTGAGCTGGTTGATTTGTTAGATTTAAACTCCTCAATTTTTTTTAAAATTTTAAAAGAGAGTGTTATTACTCAAATTTCAAATTTTATTTTAATCCGATTTCCTCTTACCTTTAAAATGTTGTATCTTATTTAAAACAATTTGGTTATTTTTTTAGTATTTATCTTTTATATTTATCTTAAATTTTATATTTTATAATTTTAAAACAAATAAAAAAATATATTTACAATTCCATCTAACACAAAGTTGAAATGCTACTAATCATTATTCTCTTAAAAGCTCGTATAACTTATTATGATTATATGCACATTTATTGTTTCAAGAATTATTCTAAACATATAATGAGAAGAAGATAATAAATCAATGGTTAATCATTCATAAGTATGGTGAATTCAAGAATAAATATGGTATACTAGTTTGACTCTCTAATTCTTATGGGTAGATAAATGATCAATGACATTTGAAAAGGGAAAAATTTACCGAACTTAAAGCAGGAAACTATAGTCCGTGGTTGGAGTACGGATATTCCCGCCACCAAACATGCCCGTAGAACAATCTAGAAATTTTAATTCATCCACGTCAAGCGAGGAATTAACATCCAATCGTTATACGCCACGTTTCCAAAATCAAAACCGCTAAATCATCCACCGTTGACGATCTATCGGTCAAGTGGGCTCCAGGTGCCGAAGTCTTCTCGTGGGGCCGGCCATAACACTCGGCTTCTCCACGTCGAAGAGACAAAGAGAACCCAATAAAATTTCTCCACGTCCGATGAGCAAAACTCTTAACCGTTCGATCCTCCATGCTGGCACCGCTAACCAATCGAAACACTGCTAACAACAGCTTCAGTCCCTAGTAGTCCAATCCACGCAAGGTCTAAAGCTTCCCCATGACTAAAACCTTCGCTATATAAAAACTCGCGAACCGACTCAACATTTCCAATAGATAACCAAATCTTAACTGATTATTCCACTGAGTCGAAGCTACTAGTAAAAGAAGCCGAAGCAAACAATGAGGAAGTGGGCGATCCCTTCCGCTTTGATTCTTCTTTGCCTTCTCAGTCTCCTCTCAGATCAAGGCTAGCTCACGTGTTTTATGTTTTTCGTTTCCAGAATTTTTTTTATCGATTATATTAGCTTTCGAATGCTGAATCTGGATCTACGGTTGTTTCAGGGAGAAAAGTACAAGCAAATGCGGAGGAAGGAGCCGTAGATCCTCCAAAAGTTGAGGAAAAGATCGGCGCTGTGCCTAACGGTTTACAAACTGATTCTGATGTAGTTAAAAGGTTGGTATGGTTCTGTTTTAGAATATGCTGTTCATTACTTTTTAGCTTTATTTGTTATATTCTGAATCTGTAAATATTTTCGTTTCTTTTTATTTTTTCAGAGAATCGGAATCGATCTCTGCGAGATCGCTTCGCAGTAATGCGGAGAAGTTTGAGTTCCAGGCTGAGGTGTCTCGGCTTATGGATATTATTATCAATTCTCTTTATAGCAACAAGGATATTTTCCTGAGGGAGTTGATATCCAATGCTTCTGATGTA